CAAAATATTCATTTACAAACTCCTGTAAAAAAAATTAATAGATTTTTAATCCGAATTTTTGGCCAACTAAAAAAAAATTAAATTAAACGATGTAAGAATGATAGGAAACAATGAAATTTCTTACAATTAAATCAAAAATAAAATCTACAAAATTGTGTGGAATTATAAAAAATGAACGAATCAAATTTTTAATGATTTTTTGAATGTTGTATTACACAATGAATGATTAAATGAGGTTTTATAATACCTTTGGCAGCGGCACTAGCATCAGCTGCAACCAATCCGTGATAATGTTTGCCAAGTGCCAGTAACTCTTCGTGTGTACCCTCTTCAACAACTTTGCCATCCTTAATAAAGACGATCCTGTTGGCGTTAGTGATAGTTGAGAGCCTGTGAGTCACGATAACGGTCGTTCTGCCTTTTGAGGCAGCATCAAGTGCTCTCTGAACAGTTGCTTCACTGTGAAGATCTAATGCAGAAGTAGCCTCATCGAGTAAAAGTATGGCTGGTCGTCTGACCAATGCACGAGCTATTGCAATCCTTTGTTTTTGTCCACCAGATAATTGGGAACCTCTTTCTCCAACAGGACTATCGTATCCCTAATAATTTCCCAAAAGAAAAACAATTAATTATTAGAACATCAAAAGTGGTGGCTGCATCTCATATCAAGTTTTTGTTAACACTTTGGAGACCGGTAACTTTTCTGAAAATTTACCCTAATGTTTGGCCGGTTATTGTTTTGAAAGCGGATTTGAAATTAAAACAATATAAATACTAAACACTAGTCTAGATTGAAACAATTTTGTTTGAGTGTTTAAATATTACGTATTAGGATATAACGAAGTTTAGATGTTTAGTTTTTTGAAAATTACAAAAATGTATGGCTGTTCAAATGTAAAAGACACTGAGTGTTAGAGATTGAGGTAATATTTAATATTTTTATAAATGTATGTTTTAAAACAATATAAATACTTAACACTAGTTTAGATTGAAACAACTTTGTTTGAGTTTTTAAATATTACGTATTAGGATATAACGAAGTTTAGATGTTTAGTTTTTTGAAAATTACAAAAATGTATGTCTGCTTAAATGTAAAAGATTCTGCACGTTAGAAATTGAGGTAATATTTAATATTTTTATAAATGTATATGTTTCTCATGTAATTCATAATATAAAACAAAAACAAATTTCCAGTTGCTGAAGAAGTCCCAATGAAGGGAGGAAACGTTAAATTTGATCAAAATAAAGTTCTAGTTCTTTATAATATCCAATTTCCCTGCTAAACATATTTATTAATAATATAAATAAACTTGAATAAATTGTATTTATTATTTAACTCTTAATATTTCTTAAATATAAAAGAATATATATATATATATGATTTTTCTTATTTCTTTTTCTTTTCTTTTCTTTTTTTTTTCAACACGAGTTAACTCTTGACCGGTCCCCAAATTGTTAAAATAAATACCTAATAATATTAATTGAATACCAAAAAAAAATTAATTGAATAATATAATTAATACTAATTAAAAATCAAAAAGTCGGCACATTTTAATATCGATAAATTGTAAATAAAAAAATAAAATATAATTTGACAATTATTTTATCAGATTTGAAATAAAAATGTTAACGTATGCGAAACAACGTAAAACTTGCTTGAACGAAATTATCCTGAAATGGCGAATTCACCTAGCGATAATTCGGTAATAAACGCCTAATCGTTGACACGGGCGTAATCTCGGATAATGTTATTTGCACGCGAAATGTGTTATACTAGAGGATATTTTATCGCCTGTTTACGCGAGCATTCTGCGGATCGTCCTAGCACCTGAGACTATCGTTAACATATACATATACACACATGTATACACCCACATGCACATACGTTTATATATATAATATGCACGTATTCATGCATGAATATATACGAGATTCGTCAGGACGTGTTATGTAATACGTAAACTTGGAAAGTTTGATACTAAACGTTCGTTCCAACATATAAATCCATTGAACATATTTTTTTCAATTATAACAATAATAAATCCAATTAATTACGATTATTTTTCGATCTAACAGAAAATCACTTTATTCGATTACGACCTATATTTTTCGTTCTCATTAATTTCAATAAAAATCGAGATTTCATTTCATTTCGTTCTAGCATAAAAATGATTCGATGATTTATATTAATGTTATAAATAAAAATTCGATATTTTATGAAATATTTATTGATGTGTTATTATATAATAAAATTCGTTTACGAAATATTATACTTTATCGTTAGAAATGTGTAATCGTTCTTTTGTTTTATTCAATTAAAATATATTTAACAATGTTTAATGTACACATCGATAATATCAAAATATTTCTACTTTGTTATTTGATTATAAGATAAATCAACGAATATATTGCATCGTTGTAAATAATCGATTGAAATAAAACAATAAATAAAATATGTTGATTCGTTTATCCATAAAAATTTGATCTTTCGAAAGACATAGATGAAAAAGAAGGAAAAATTTGCGAACAAAGGTGCCAAGATGAAATAAAAAGAAGAAAAATTTGACTTGCTTACCTCAGGCAGTTTGCTGATGAAATCGTGAGCGTTGGCTTCCTTGGCTGCTTTGATCATTTCTTCCTCGGTAACGCTGTCATTTCCGTAACGGATGTTCTCTCGTATTGTCGTGTCAAAAAGTACTGGTTCCTGTCCAACAAGACCGATGTGCGAACGCAACCATTGAACATTTAACTTCGATATATCGACCCCATCTAACTGGACCTTCAATTCAAATGGTTAATAAAAATACGTTAATAAAATATTATATTTTTGTATTTAGATTGTGAACCAGAAATTATTTTATTTATCAAAAATAAATAATTGTGCACGCATATTTTCACGATAATTTATAATAATAGTTCATCTAACTGGACCTTTAATTCAAATGATTAATAAAAATACGTTAATAAAATATTATATAATATTTTTGTATTACGATTGTGAACCAGAAATTATTTTATTTATCAAAAATAAATAATTGTGCACGCATATTTTCAAGATAATTTATAATAATAGTTCATCTAACTGGACCTTTAATTCAAATGATTAATAAAAATACGTTAATAAAATAAAATATAATATTTTTGTATTACGATTGTGAACCAGAAATTATTTTATTTATCAAAAATAAATAATTGTGCACACATATTTTCACGATAATTTATAATAATAGTTTAGATGTTTAGTTTTTCGAATATTACAAGAATGTATGTCTGTTCAAATGTAAATGACTCTGAACATTGGAGAGATTGAGGTAATATTTAATATTTTTATAATTTATGTTTCTTATGTAATTCATAATAAAAAAATAAATTTTCCAGTTGCTGAAAAAGTCCCAATAAAGGGACGAAACGTCCAATTTAATCAAAACTAAATTCTAGTTCTTTTTAATGTCCAATTTCCCTACGATAGTTATTTATTAATAATTTATAATCTTCACTTCGAAATATGTTACATATATGTGTGCAAAAATAAAAGTTAAAAAGTTGAGACGTGCAAAGACAAATTTTCACATGGAATAATAAAAACGTAAGGGCACGCTATTAACTTGGCAATTACTTGCCAATACAATCTAACTGGACCTTCAATTCAAATGATTAATAAAAATACGTTTATAAAATATAATATTTTTGTATTACGATTGTGAACCAGAAATTATTTTATTTATCAAAAATAAATAATTGTGCACGCATATTTTCACGATAATTTATAATAATAGTTTAGATGTTTAGTTTTTCGAATATTACAAGAATGTATGTCTGCTCAAATGAAAAAGACACTGAACTTTAGAGATTAAGGTAACATCTAATATTTTATAATGTATGTTTTTCATGTAATTCATAATATAAAAAAAAAAAATTTTCCAGTTGCTGAAAAAGTCCCAATAAAGGGATGTAACGTCAAATTTAATCAAAACTAAGTTTTAGTTCTTTTTAATGTCCAATTTCCCTACGATACTTATTTATTAATAATTTATAATCTTCACTTTGCACATATATGTGTGCAAAAATAAAAGTTAGAAAGTTGAAACGTGCAAAGACAAATTTTCTCATGGAATAATAAAAACGTAAGGGCACGCTATTAACTTGGTAATTACTTGCCAATACACAATGGCATACAAGTAAAAAAAAACTTTGCCAACACGGGAGGTACAACCCCTTTCGAAAAACTTCTCGAATCTACGATAACTCGAAAGATTTCAGGTATTAAGTTTCCCTCCTTTCTTTCTTTCTACCTCGACCCCGTTTTTCTTTTAATTAGCGAACCGCGAAAGTTTCCGATATTACTGAATCGAATTAAGGGGCTCGTATGAATACGCGTTTTAATGGGGAACTCCATTAAACTTGAAATTACAGTTATAAGAAAGTTGGAAAGAAAGTAAAATACAAAAACTACGGAAACACATTTTTATATTCGAACATTAAACGAAAGAAATTATTCGTCATTGAATAAAATAAATTAGAAAAAGGATAAAAAATGAACTCACTTGTCCTTGCAACGGATCGTAGAGTCTTTGAATGAGTTGCAAACAGGTAGATTTACCGCATCCGGAACCACCAACCAACGCCACAGTTTCTCCATGTTTGATTTTCAAATTTAAACCTTGCAATACTTGAATATCTTTTCTCGCGGGATAACGGAAATGAACATCCTTAAATTCGATGTCACCGCTGACCGATTTTAATTTCTGACCTTCCTTGCTTAAACTATCGATAGTTGGTACACGATCGAGTACTTGAAAAACAGCAGCAGCTGATCCTCTAGCCACTGCAAAAGCTTCTAAATGCGGCGAAGTTAAMCCCATGTTTTGTGCACCAGCCAATACACCAAAAAATACTATTACCAATACGGCTGGTGTATATTCTTTATATTCTTTCGGACGATCCTCCAAAATCAATTGAACGCCATACCTGTTAAGATAAAACAAAACGAAAAACGAAACATTTATTTACTATCTCACAAGGAGACTTTACGGTTGTGCCCTCACGGATTTTAAGGAGCTTTGGTATATTAGTAGTATACCTTTAGGGTATTAATGTGGTAAAGTATTTTATCAAAATGCGAAGCAAATTTTGAGAAAAAAGCTGTAAGTTTGGATTTTTTTGTACACATGTTTATATTATCTTAAATGCGACTGTTTATCAAGTAGCGTGTTAGCGTAAGTAGTAGCGTGCTTGATTTTCGTGCTGCTAGCTGGTGGTTCGATCCTGCATCAGGGAAGTATTTTTTAATAATTTTTTTCTATTTATTTTTAAATTGTTTTTTCATAATTCTTAATTTTTAAATATATATACAGGTAAGAAAAAATTATTTATTACAAAAAAAAATTAGAAATAATAAATTTTTTAATATTTTGCGTAAATAATAAAGAAAAATGTAATCCTTGAATTACAGTTAACATTTTATTTTTTAACAGGTATATTACACATGAAATAGTTAATGATTAGAATATATACGATTGTTATTTGTTMRTMTATTGAAGATTTATCTATTTTCATATACCTGTTAAAAAAACATAATATAATATAATTATAATATAATTTAAGATAGATAGAATAGATAAGATAGATAGAAGATAATATAATATAATATAATTTAAGTAATCAATTTTCCTTTATTATTTGTGCAAGATGTTAAAAAATTTATTATTTCTAATTTTTTTGTAATAAATAATTTTCTTTTACCTGTATATATTTAATAATTAAGAAATATGAAAAAACAATTTAAAAATAAATAGAAAAAAATTATTAAAAAATACTTCCCCGATGTAGGATCGAACCACTAACTAGCAGCACGAAAATCAAGCACGCTACTACTTACGCTAGCGCGCCACTTAGTAAACCATTGCATTTAAGATAATATAAACATGTATACAAAAAAATCAAAACTTTGACAGTTTTTTTCTCAAAATTGGGTTCGTATTTTGATAAAATACTTTACCACATTAACACCCTAAAGGTATACTACTAATATACCAATGCTCGTTAAAATCCATGAGGGCACAACCGTAAGGTCTCCATTTCAGTTTCACGTTTCTAACTAAACGAATTTATGAATATTTTACGTCTAGGTTTCTCGTTTAGCTTCAAACGTTTGGTTGCAAAAAGTTCGACGACCTATTTCAAAAAAAGTGCATACACATTTTTCTGCACGTTGTTGTTTATAGCTCAATTTTTTATTTCTAGAATTATTTTTAACAAAATATGATACCGTAAATGAATATAAATATTCGACTAATAAAAATAATTCACAAACACTAGCTCGATAATTAAATGAAAAATTCATATTCGTTGTTTAATATTTATCTAAAAAAAAAAAAAAAAAAAAAAAAAAAATGCATTAATATCACAAAAATATAATAAAAGTAATGAAAAATTCTTGCAGAAAAAAAAAACACATATTAATATAAAAATCATTAACCATAATATCCACTAATGTTTCTCATAATTTACAATATAATTTATGAAAAAAGAAAAATAATAAAAATAACGAGTAGAGTAATTTATACGGGGGATGAAAAGTGAACATAAATCAAGTTCCTGTTATTCCGTATAAATATGACTTACCAAAAAGCTAATGCGTAACTGAGATAAATGATAAACCACATGACACCACCTCCAACACCGGACCACATTCCTCTCCTGATGCCAGTTTTTTCAGCTGGCACAAGTTTCTCGGTATATCTGTCAACCTCCTTTTGCTCCCCATTGAAGGCTACGACAGTCCTGATGGCACCAAAGACCTCTTCAGCAACGCTTCCTGCTTGACCATACGCAGCCAATTCAAGGGCTGTTAAGGAGCTTTGGACCTTGGCTACAACAGCAGTGGCTACGACGATAACAGGCGCACAACTAAGTACGACTAATGTCAATTTCCAACCGTATATGAACGATATAATGATCGATGATATAAAGGAAACCATCAGATACGTAAAAATACCAAGCTTCTCCCCAATTCCATCCTTCATTTTGTCCAAATCTCTGCGAACACATTCGAAACATTTTATTTTTATATTTTAAATTACTATCAAATTATTTTATTTACAAGTTATTGAATCTCGAATTGATTAATTTATAAATGTAATGAATTTATAAATGTAATAGTTAAGAAATAAATGAAATTCGATATATATATATATATATCACTTCACGCAAATCCTCAAAATTTCAAGAATTTCGAATATAATTTTCCAAGAACATATGTGTGTGATCGAACAATTTTTAAACTAAATCGATTATTACTAAAATTTAATTGAAGTATTACAAATGTCATATCGTATTAAATCTGATTAAAAATTGGAAGGAGGAAGGGGGGGAGAGAGAGGGGGAAACAGTGAAACACACATTAATCAACGTAAATCGATATCATCCGAAAAAGCCTTATATATAAAGTTGTCGATTAAAATTCGAAGAAAAGGGGATAAATGAGTGAAAGGACATTAAATACTAGGAACAATAAGAGCTTTGTAAAGCCTTGAAAAGCTCGAAAAGGGGTGTGAGAGAGAAAGGAACCCTCGAGATCGAGCTAAAAATAATAATCGTACGCTAGGTGGAACACACTGGTAACGAACGTTTGTTCTGCTCTGTGGTAATCGACTTTTTAAAGTGCATACTCTCCTTGCCACCCTCCCACCCCCTTCCTCCCTCCCTCTTTTCCCTAGCTCATAATAAAAAGTTCCCTACGGGGCGGAGAGGTGGGAGGGGGGAATGGGTCAGTCCTTGGCAAATGGTAATGGAGAAGCGTTTATCGTTATCGATCGAAAGTGAAGTTCGTACTACCCCTTGCGTCGTTTATCACCGTCTTTTATTTTTCTTTCTCATTCTCTCTCTCTGTTTTTAACCACAAACGAAAAAAGGCTTTATGTAACAACGACGATTAAGTGTCTTAAATGTCTGAAGTAAGATACTTCATCGTTTAAGATGAAACACGATATAAAAAGGATAACTCCTCTTGAAAGTAATGTCACTGATATTATACACTGCAAAATGTCAAGTACTTTACTTTACTTCACTATTTAGGGTCATCGTTTTTTCAGTTTATATACGATCATTTTGAATGATGCTATTTGAAAAGTTCACTTAAAGATTTCTTTAGGATTTTCTTGATAAATATATAAAATTATGATTACTTTTTATAGTTAGAAAAATGAATGTATTGTTTGAAATTGTGATTAAAATTGAATAACAAAACGTAGATGTATTTTGATTAAGTACATTATAAATTGTATTATTTAAAAATTGTTACTATAATTAAAAATTATTATAAGTATCAAATGAATAATTGATAGATACGGAAAGTTAATTTAAAAAAAAATTAAATAAACAAAATGATAAGTTATTATTCTGATAAAATTGAGCCGTTTATTTTGAAAGTGGCATAAGTCACTTGTTTTTTTCTAAAAAAAGTGAAAAGATATCGTTCAATTGTAATTAGTGTTGCCATTAACTCAATTTTTGTTTAACCCTTCTTTGCATGATTTTTTCTTTTCTTTTAAAATAAATCAGGGTGATGTAATTAATGCTCTAGATTAAAGGAAAAATATTTAAAAAAATCCTAATGCTATTTTTTGACAACTGCGTTTTGTTGTACGCAATAGTCGCTTAAAAAGTTGCCAGCAACAACAAATATACAGTACAAGGGTTTTGAGTACCTTTTTTTCTTGACTAAATATTATGATTGAAATTTCCATCATCATGCAAAGAAGGGTTAATGTAACATAAGAATCTTTTATTATCACGATATTATTTTATCTATTGATTTAATTTATTACTTTATATTTTGTACTTTATATTAATATTTCTCATT